CCTCCCGCCTACGGGAAACAACACTCAACATCTTGGAGGTAGTCATTGACTACCATGCGCTGTTTGTTGGCACAGGTCGACTCCACAGGTCGACTCAGGTGCTGCACTCGCCCCTGTAAACGCAGCCTCTCAACGCACGTGCGACTGATAAAGTTCCTAGTTGAGCAAGTGTCATAATAGGCCCCGGCCTTGCGACCGCCAATGACAACCTCGCTGACGAACATCTCACCCTTTGGGGCTTTGACTAGAGCCGCCCAAGAAGCTAGTGGGTCTGATCTAGACCACTCCACCTCTAGCTCCTCTAAGGACTCAAACACATTCTTCGAACAGAGGCTCGATGTGTCTGAACGTGTTTGCGGGACGACGCTGGAGTCAGTAGCTTGGGCCATCTCTCGAGATGGTGAGGGTGTCTCCACCACCTCGACCCTAGCAGGAACAGCTACTATTCCTACTGGCCGACGTGTTTCCCGGAGCACTGCCAGAAGTTCTGGCAACATTGCGACCAACAGGTTGAGAGGATCCCAACACCTGCCCCATCGTAGGCGGGATCTTTTCGGTTACCTTCTTATTGCGGCACTTGTACTGACCATGACCGTATTGACCACAGCGAATACAGGCCTGTCGTGAGTACCGGTCTCTCCACACGTCCTCAGTGAGACCCGCTTTCTCCCAAGGAGGAGCGTTGGGGTCAACTTGACTCCTGGACCGGGAGCCTCCACGGCGTCTACCGGTCGCCTTACCTTTTTGAGCAACGGCTACTCCACCCTCCGAAGCTTCTACGCTGCCCGCCTCTGAACATACTCCCTCTTGGAAGTGTTCGTTTACCTCGATAGTGAAACCATCATTATCGACAAACATTAAGCGACCCTTCGCCTTCGAGTTAGGAGGCAGTGTCTTCTTCCTCCCATCCGTAGTGGGTGCATGCCCATGCCCTATCTTAGCTTCAAGGTCTAGGGCCATCTTGCTGAACGAAGGAAAGTTGTGCATATTGATGTTGGCCTCTCTTGCCAACTGGTTCCTGAGAGGCTGAAAAAAGCATCTCAAGTACGAAGTAAGCAGGACCTGGGGGTCATAGCGCACCCGTGGGACACAGATCAAACGCTCAACAGCGTCGATGGCTTCCCTTACTGACTTGAACTGCCGCGTGTGCAGTGTCAGGATCGCATCAGTTGCCCTTTGGGCTTCCTAAGGATCATGCCACCTCTCTTCCACCATCTTCAGGAAGTCCTCCAATTTCTGGGAGGCCGCCCAAGCGCGGAAGTCATGACCATATCCCTGGAGCTGCACTAAGCCACTCAACCATTTTGCTGCACTACCCTCTAGGTAGGAAGCAGCCACAAACACTTCTTCGTGCGGCAAGGTAAGTTTACACCTGACATAGACTGGCACTGACCTCAACCATGTGTCGAGGTCTTCGCCTCTCTTGTCCCCTGTAAAGGGTTTCGGAGCGGCGATGGCCGTCTTTGGAACCCACTATGGTTGTCCCGGACCCTGCACCACTCCGGGCTGTGGACCCGGTGATACAGGTTGTTGTGCTAGCTGCTGAGGCTGTGTGCCCTGCGGCTGCACAGGTTGCGAGACAGTAGGTTGCGTGGTGACTGCAACCTGCGACGGAGTTTGGGTGAACACTGTCTGTATAGGAACTTGCAAACTAGTCCCTGATGATACCCCTCCTGTCAGCGGCATGCCCAAGGAAACGATTGCAACCGATGACGGGGCTACATATGGGGATATCCCTGTCACCGGTGGGACATAAAAAGGAGGATATGGCACGGGCCAGGCACCAGGCCCGGCTGGTGATGGTACCGCCTGAGCATGCCCTGCCAGAACGGCTAGGCTCTGTTGGATATCCTAAAGGATGGTAGTCTGGTGCTCCTGCATCTCTGTTACTCCTAGCAGGGCCTTCCTAACTACCCTCACGTCATCATCCATGTGCATCAGGTCCATCGTCTCTAACTCCCCTATGTCTGCCCCTCTCCGCTGCATCCTGGCTCTTCTTCTAATCATCTTCTCCTTCTCCGCTTTTATCTCTCCTAATGCCCGTTGTAGTTGTGCCTCCTGCAGGGCTGCCTGCTGGATGGCGACATCCTCTGGGGTCAACACTAATGCCTGACTTGCCATAACGCCAGTGGACTGACTCACGGTCTGGGCGACCGCTGACCCGACGATACCTGAACTGCTGGTCTGGGAAGTCTGATGCGCAGAAGTGACCATAGCGGAAGTGGCCATGGCTGCTGTAGCAGCGGCCTCGCTAGCGAAAGCCCTGCTGGCCTCGGCTGCTCTAGCTATCCTCTGCTACTGCTGCCTCTCCCTAAGCTGGCGGAACAGAATCCTATCACCCTCCGGTCCTAAGGACACGTGGGCTATCGGGCGTCTAGCTGATCGCAAGATCCGGTCGTCCGGTGGTGTGTCCTCCCTGTCGCTCATATGCTACAACACTGTGCACCGTCTACACTAGGTCACTCAAGATGCCTACCGCAACAGAGTGCACAAACCAATTTAAAAATAAATAAATAATTAATTGGTGACTATTCCGAAGCAGATACATTCGGGTTCTAACAGGTACGTCCAAATTCCTACAAACGAATCTATTTTTAGTTTGACTAGTCCGCAAACAGAAGCACCAGGAACAATAAACAGTTCTAACTAATGCTATCTGTCAGATGTCAATGGTTGTACACCTAACTAATCAAAACATAAAAATAGAATCATTTGTGTGGATAGGACAGCATGGAATTTTCTCGAACTTATCACCTGGAATCAACCCTTCCCTTCGTTCCCCTGAGTGTCACTTGACGTCAGCGTCCCTGAGCAATCTGGAGAGCGTCACGTGTCTAAAGGTGCGTGTCCGGCCCACCCCTGTGCCACGAATATCTGCTGAGCTGGCCAGCCCTGCACTGGATTATCCTCACGTGCAGCGAGCCTTACAAACCATTGGCTGATCCAGAGGCAATTTAACGTCCGCCCCCAAGTGACTCCATGAATTTTTTTACGTCGCAGCCGGACGACGATCACAACTAATGGTTCCCCTTCCGGTGCTTATTTGAAGACGCCCGGTCTCGTCTCCCTCAAGGGCTGGCCTGCCCAACAATACCCATCTAACAGCGCAACAAGCTGAACAAAGGACAAGCAGCAAGGCATGCGTGCTCTACTCCTTGTGGTTGGCATGGTGACCGTGACCCAGTGCTTCGTCCAGGGCCCTTCAGAAAGCTCCGCCCATCTTCTCCCAGATGCTCCACGTGAACATTGCCGACTCTCAAGGTTGAGCGCACTCGACACCTCACAATGAGAAGACTCTCAAGAAGGAACACAACCTCACGGTAAGAAGTGTCGGAGAGGGTAGATAAGGTTAAGAGCAACGTACCTCAAATACCTGCCCCCAACCACAGAGATAATCTCACCAGATGACCAAATGGCGATTGCGATGATCAGTCACTGCATTGGCACAACCAGCATTATCTCGCCGTTCCACCTCAGCATCAATTGCACATTAGATAGTTCTCATCACACTGGCCAGACCACATTACTACCCACGTAGCCTTCCTGGCGATCCCCTCACCTCTTGGGTCGCCTATTACTTGTCTCCACCCTCCTCACTACACACCACTTACGGCCAAACTCGCCCAGCAGACCGCATGTATGTACCGCATAAGGCAGAAGACAAGAGCCAGATGAGCGCAATCGTACCACAGCTCCGATGCCAAATTGCAAGGAAGATGAGCAATAGCGAACTTCAGCAATCAAACAGCATCATACATATGAGTCCAGATAGTCGTGACCTCGAACCAACAGCAGAATTGCATCACGAGATTCACCAAATGAGAACACACCAAGAGTTCATAATTGACAATGCTGAAATAGTCCCATCATCATCAACGAAGAGCCAGAGTTGATATCCTATCTGGCGCTCGGCGCCCAGACTACATGTGCTAGATCCTATCTAGCCTGCACTACGATGCCGAAAGATGACGTCAACAGCATTCCCGAAGTACGAGCATATGGCGACCAATGTCGCACGCTTCCAGCACCAGGTATGTCTCTCG